CATTAAAATAACAATTTATTTTTTATTTGTAATGTGAAATTTGCATTTCAATCGGCTTTTTACCTGAGAATGAAGGCTCTCTGTTTTGTCAACCAAAAGCTCGATCTTCTCCCCTCGGTCAAGAACCTACACGTTCCATCAAAACTTCAAATAACAACTAAGTATAAAATAGGAGTCCACTGTATTGGTATCAAAGTGACAATTAAATACACTTGAAGTGTCTGGTTCTTTCTTTATTTCTCTTATAATTTAACAATGACCGGTGTAAGTAAGTGAATTAAAATTTCCGCTTACCTTCTCAATGTTATCCATCATGACACCTTTGACTTCCGAAACCTGGGCCTTGACTTTTGAAAGCTTGCTGATCTCTTCTGGATGATCCACACAATACTGCATCTGCTCCTTCAGCTTGGGACTGGTATTTACATAATTTAGCGGGGATTAAGCATTAAATTTTAAAAGATGTAAAAAAAAGACTGAGAATCAAAATTAGAATTTATAAGATGATGACCCGAATTCTTTGTTCAAGCTATTGGCAACAGCTGTTGCAGCTTTCCCTCCACTGTATTTCTTGGTGAATTCATCCTTGATTCTCTCCAGAAAAGCCATTGGAATCTGACGACCAACAGCCTCGATGGCAACCACACAGTATGCTTCATCATTTAATAACTTAAAAGTTAGTTCAAATATATGTAAGTTGAAGAAAGCAAAAGAAGCAGATTATTTGACATTTTTACATAATTTAATTAACTGTGGTAGTGAATTAGTGATGATGAACTGTCAAATGAGAATGATGATTAATGGAAATTACTTTAAAGTTTAAACTAATCATGATTCATGTTGATGGCCAGCTTTTCCTGATGCATATGTGCTCCTTTTTTGGTGAATTAGTGCTTTCACTTTGGTGTTCCTTTTGTTTGTTATACAACTAATTGGTATCATGGTATGAGTTTATATACTTTATGCACTTCTTTGCTTTATCAACATAATGTATTTTACATCGCATAGATCAACCAAACTTTTGGCATTTTTGAAAAAATGACAAACCCAAGCAGCCTATATATATCACACACTAATTAGATAAATACCAGAAAATTCAAAGGTAAGGGAATTAATTGTAAAGCCTTACACCTTTTAACATCTAAATTGACTTTGATTTGTAAGTAAACAGGTAAAAAACATTTCAAAATATAGAAGTTAAACTAACTGTTTATCATTCCATACCATAAAGTATGAGGTTGGACTAAGAAATATAGCTGATTCATATCAAGAAAGTTTAACTAATCAATCAAAAATCCACCTCTTGTTCTGAATGTTGTCTAGCAACTCAAAATGACTCAAGTTTACATATTATATATAGCTCATATTATTGCTTATTGTTGATGAGAAGAATACGACGCTAATCGCAGTAATCAGAAAGCATGGATCATCATCCAATTCTAATAGCAAAAAAGGAACGTAAAATTGAGAAGAGAGTAATTGCAACCCCTACTCAAATTATTTGAGATTAACCATTAGATAATTTACTGCCATGATTTTCATAACTTAAACTCAAAATCATCTAACTCACTGGAATAACATAAATCGCATCAGCACATAACGTATGAACATCTAAACGATCAACTCGACCAACATTTCAAATACAAAACGCATAATAATAAAAAATAGGTCAGATCAAACTCACTAAATCCATCTTCAACGAGATAGTTAAACGTGTGTCCATCGCATGCGTAGGTGAACTTGTTATTGGTAGCAGGAAGCTTCTGGAGACACTGAGCAGCGATGTTGGTGAAATTACCGGTGAATTCCGTGAACTCCGAAAGAATCACCGTCCCCCTCGCCACAAAACTGTAGATCAATGATTGTTGCCCCATGATAGCCTTCTCTTCTCCCTCTCCGGCGAGCTGAGAACCCTAGAACCGATCACCACCGCGTCTATAGGGACAAAAACAAATGGAAGGGAGCGTAAATCGATGAAGTGTGAAAGAAAGAATGAATATGGAAGGTGAAAGGGTGAGATTCTGGATTTGCTTATACTGAAAGTAAAGGTTGTTTTGTCGACAGTGTGGTATTACCAAAGTCCACATGGAAAATAACGGAAAGGTCCAGCTGTAATTTGTTGTGTCCAGATTTTGAGCTTTTGGATTATATACCCATTAATACATAGTCGACTTCCGATATGTATAAAGTATGTTATATTAATATTTGAGTCAATCGTAGGGTTACTTGGGCCCATACAGATTAAGGTTATGGCAAAAGGAATGAAAATAAGTATCTCAAATCATTAAATTATGAAATTATGGTTGTTTGATACAATCTGAATGATTTAAAAACTTTACCAAATCTGTTTCTGAATAAAAGATATTGTTTGTTTAGATTTTATAAAAGGACATTAATTACCACTAACTTTATTTAATAAAATGACAGTTTTGTCATTACTTTGCATTTAATGTTCCATTAAATGTTTAGTTGGTTAAATAATAATAAGGATATATTTTGGTAAAATGTTATTTATTTTTAGAAGGGGACTATTATTTTGGGACAAACAAAAAAAAAGATAGACTATGATTTTAAAGACGGAAGGAGTATATATTAAATCATGTGAGTCTTTATAGATAGGAGTAGGGGTTGAAGAATAGCAGTTCACATATCTATTCCTTCCAATATGTAAGACTTGATAAATGTGAAGAACATATCTATTCCTTCCAATATGTAAGACTTGATAAATGTGAAGAACGTATCTATTCCTTCCAATATGTAAGACTTGATAAATGTGAAGAACATATCTATTCCTTCCAATATGTAAGACTTGATAAATGTGAAGAATAGCAGTTCACATATCTATTCCTTCCAACATGTCAGACTCATTAAATTCATTAAATGTAAAGAACATATATGGCAGCAAGCAATAAGAAAAGTACCTCAAAAATCTCGATCTAAACAAATGAAAAAAAGTTATATTTAAGCAAAGGAAAAAAATATTAACTATATGTTAACTTTCATTTTCTTCGAGCATCTCCTTTACTCCATGGAAACATCACCGGATGCATCTCCATCAAAGCCTTTATGCATCGAAAACTGAAGATCTCCAATTTCTTTTTTTGTTTGACATGTTCACGAGAATCTGTTTAGCGATCAAAATATGAAACAATTGTAGTAGAGATCTCAGAAATTACTTGCATAAACACACATCTGACCTCCATTTTCCTTTTGTAGCTATAGCATCACATTAACTTATCATCAACGTTTTCAACTCACTGGAGACAACGATCATATGTACTATGTAGTAGCGGCAGAAGAGATACTGGTATGAGGCGGTGGTAGAGCAGCGGTCCGGTGGTCGATGAAAGTAGCGGCGATCATAAGGAAGTAGCGCTGGGAGGATACCTCTAACATGACAGTGGTGCTGGTGGTGTCAGGTTTGTGTCTTCTTGAAGGTCAATGGTGAAAATCGTTGGAGGTAGCCTAAATCACCGATCTAGATAACGAGATGCGGGAGGACGACGCTAGCGGTGGATCTAGTGGATGAGGAGCTGAAATAAAAGATCTGGTCGGTGGCAGGGATGCCGATTTGGTTTCCGGTAAGTCGGTGGTGGGGCCGGACATCAACAAGAGGCTGCCGGTGGTAGAAGGAACGAGGGAAGAGATATGTTGATTTTTTGAAAACTATGAGAGAATGAACCGGATCTACTTTTTTAGATTTAGTTTTGTAAGATTTGATTATTGTTTGTGAAAGGCTATGATTTGTTTTTATTTACAATTATATCATTATCTCTTTTTTAATATTTATAAGACAAAACTGCATAAATGGTCCCTGTGGTTAGTTGAGAATTGCTACTTTGGTCCAAAAAGGTTTGGACTACCACCAGAGGTCCAAACTTTTCATTTTGTTGCGAATTTAGTCCAGTTTTCTATTAACTTTTTCATAATGACTATTTTACCCTTATTTTTTTCTTTTTCAGTTTTATTATTATTTAAATACTTTTTTTGATTAAAAGAAAAAATAAAAAAGAAAATTTGCATTTTCTATTTTATTTTTATA